CTCCCATTACGAATACTCGCTCATACATTTCTGTTATTCGTTCTCGCAACTGGTATTTACCATTTTTGAACCTTACATTATTATACACGAGTAAATCGACTATGAGAGTTCTATCACTTTTTTTTTTTCAAGGAGGGTTGTGGTAGAACTCTCATAGCTGTAGACGTGAAAAGTGAGATGTGGGAGGTTCTTAGGTTTTGTTGAGGCGGGGGGGTTGAGGGAGGATTCCTGAGGTAAGATTTTGCCTTGGTGATACCTAAGTGTAGGCATGTTGTGTCTCGGTACGTAGACAAATCAAAAGAAATATCATATGAAAAACATAGATGGGAAAATCTTACTAATAATTAATAAAATTGAAAAAATAAGCATCGCCTTAGTGGTGCATAGACATACAGCTGCATGCTCTCAATTCAATATTAAGCAGGTTTCTTTGATAATTTATTAGAACATAGATTTGAAAAAAATTTTTAAATTATTTAAACCATATGTCTTTTTAAATAATTCAAACTATGTGTCATTTATATTTTTGAGTAAGCGAGGAATGATGGGAAAGGAAGAGAAAAATCATTATATAGAAATTGTATAAAACATGAAAACCAAAGTCGAGAATCTATCAGTCACGTTCCGATTGTGAGTGAAATACAATCACTGTAAACTAGTTGTTAAATTCATCTATCATCATTCATCTAACATGGCTTCTTTACCGAAAAATAAGTGTCATATTTGTCGATCAGCGGATTGCTATGTATATATAGCGAAAAAATCAGCGTTTAAACCTGGTATGGACTTAAGGCCATCTGGAGATTCATGAAAATTCCTTAAAGAAGAAAGATTTTATGATGAGCTTATTCGATCCGACTGTGGAAACCACTCTGCAATTGGCATAAGTAAATCAACTAGTGAGTTTGATGTAGAAGAAAGAGTACATGAATCTCTGGCATATGCTTCAAAAAAAATTGTAATACAATTGAACAATTTAAATATCGAGGAAAACTTAAATAATTTACGTCTTCAGGAAAATTTTAAGATACTTAAAGATCAAAAAACAGATTTTCTACTCAAAGAAGGTTACGGTGCGTTGAAAGCCTACATTGATACACATTCTGAAATGCTCCCTGATGGAGATATAACATCTCGATTCAATAAGGATGAAATAGTTGTCCTACTATTGTGCTAGGTCTACCAATGCCGGCTACAACGTGTTTGCAGCCATTAATGCTCACACGACGCTCTAGTACACGTGCTCTTCCTACCGCTCTTTCTATTTCCTCATCGAATAATTGCTCTAAGCTGTATCCAACCTCTGTTTAGCTTTACTAGTGTTAATTATTCATTGTTACCGTGATAAATAATTTTGTTTTGTTAATGAGATTATAATAAAGCTCAATAAAGGTGTCTTTTGTTTGTGTATACCTCTCCTGACCACATCCTACGGCGTAGCTCATCTGTTATCGATCTTTTGGCTCTAAATCATCAATAAAAAAAAACTAAATCGACAATTTTCGGTTCTCACAATACAATTAGGTCCTTCGAGCCGGATGTGGTCAGCAATGAAGTGAAAAGTGATCAAAAAAGACATTTTTTCTGTGTTCGTGCGTTCTCGCGCTCGAGCGAAGTAGCACTCTCTCGCTCGCGTTTATTAACTTTATAAGCTCTCTTGTTCGCACTCATTAGTTGTGACTTTAGTTTAGTGTGATTCTTGGACGTGACTAACTTTTGGCTTCTAACGAATAAGGTGAACTTATTTACATTTTTTGTGTGGGTCTATCAGTGCTAGTGTAGAAACAGTGAATTTTGTGCTAGTTCAAGAAGTTTTTAAGCTCGTCATTCACAATGACCAATGTATCAATGCTTGAGGCTGACGTCGACTTTCACTTCACAGCTTAACTAGCTTTTCAAGATAAAAGAAAGGAATTTCTTTTCAGAGCTCTTGACGTTTGTCGCTCAGAAGATGTAAACAAGCTCTCTCCCTCTCAGCTCGAATCCAATCTCTCTGTTCTTGAGGAGACGTGGCAGTTGTTTTGTCAATTGAACATTGATCTCGCCACGAAATTCTCTCAGCTCTATCTTAGCTCCTCGTACAAGAAGAAAAAGGTTTACCTTGTAACGCTAGAGGTTTATGACGAAGCTTGGTCAATCCTGACCAACCTCATCAGCTCTCTTCGCTCAGCTCAATCATCAAGCTCGCCTGAAGCTCGTACAACTAGCTCACCTGGTGCTCATCTCTTCGAGAAGATCAAGATCAAACCCTTCAGTGGGAAATACCGGATTGGAAAGAGTTTGAAGACTTGTTCCAGGCCATGGTTGGCAGCAACCTAGAGCTCACCGACGTCCACAAGATAACGCTGCTCAAAGGGGCTGTTCAAGGTGACGCAGCTCGGCTTCTTCCAAATTTAAGGACCGCCAATAACTACTACGCCATCGCGTGGAACCTGCTCACGTCTCGCTACGAGAACAAAAGGCTCTTGATATCAACACAGCTCGACAAGCTCTTCGGCGACAGCTCATTGGTAGATCCAACATCTAAGGGTCTTCACGACTTGCTCAATGGTGTTAGAAAAGCTCTGGACTCACTAAAAGCTCTAGACGCCGAAATCGACAAGTGGGACATACCACTAGTCTACCACTTAGTTCGTCGGCTAGATCCTTCCATCAGAAGAGAATAGGAGAGAACGCTCGGCTCCAACACTGCCTATCCATCACTCAGCTCGCTTCAGGAGTTTCTGACTTCTGAAGCCATGTCTCTTGAAAGCATTGAGCTCACTTCAGAGAAACGATCAAAGCTCAAGTCGCGATCGAAGGCCAGCTCTACTTAACTAAAGAAATCAATGGCCTGGTCATATGCTGCCACTGCTCAAGCTCAATCTCCAGCTCCTGCCGCTCCAGCTTAACCAGATCAACCTCCAGCTCAACGACGTAGGTTCAGTGCAAAGCTACCAGCTCAACAGAGCTCTTCCACCAGGCTCAGACCCTGAATGGCGGGTTATAGAGGCCCGAATGATCCTGGTCTTATCTGTGACTACTGTGACAGCAAAGATCACTATATCGCCAGCTGTCCAGTGTTCAACAAGCTCATTCCAGCACATCGGTTGAGTGTGGCGATGCAGTATCGCCTTTGCAGCAACTACCTGGGTAGGCACGATGTGAAGGCCTGCCAGAGCGAGAAGTGGTGCAACATCTGCGGGTTAAAGCAACACACCAAGATCCACCAAGGCAAGGAAGCTCACCCTAGATCAGCTCATCTGATCAAGCTCCAGCTCCACAACCTCCAACCACATAAGGTTGATATTCTCCGTTTATTCTTGATCGTCATGCTCAAGAATTAATTCTCTTCATTTTTTTTTCTTGTTAGCTCAATGTGGCTCTCCTTTGCTCGCTCAACAACCACCGCTAAGCTCCATAACAGCTCTGATAACAAGCTCCAGCTTAGCTCAACAGCTCAGCTCAACACGCAGCTCTCCACCAGCTTCTGATTTGAGCTCTAGTCCAGCTCCAGCTCGTGAATCATCTCTAAGCTCGACCTCTTCCAATAAGCTCTGCAGCAGCTCTATCTTGCTCTACTAGTTCCTGTGATTCTCCAGCTCTTAAACAAGTGCAAGAATTGTCTGTTTATTTAACAGCTCTACTTGCAACTACTCAAGCTCATCAACCAGTAAGAATGTTGTTGGATTCAGGAAACGCTCAGTGCTCTCTGAAGTAGCTCAGCTCTTTGATCCGCTAGGATTCTTAGCTCCAGTAATAGTTCGAGCAAAAATGTTCATTCAAGAGCTCTGGTTAAACAAATCAGGATGGGATGATGAACTTTCTGCTCAGCTCTCTCAACGGTGGACGCACCTACGAGACGAGTTACCCTATCTCGCTCATGTTTACATCCCTAGATGGCTCAACATGATCTCCAGTTCATACATAGAAATACATGGCTTCCTAGATGCATCGCAGATAGCCATGGCTGCATGCATGTATCCCAAAATTCAAAACTCAGACGAATCAGCTCAGATTCAGCTCTTGTGTGCTAAAACTAAGGTGGCACCATTAAAACCAGTTACTATTCCTTGGCTCGAATAAACTTCTGCTTGGATGCTCTCAAAACTCGTTAAACACGTTCAAGAAGTGCTCGAATTAGCTCGTGCTCCTATCTATCTATGGACTGATTCATCTGTAGCACTAACATGGATTCTCAGCTATCTATCCAAGTGGAAAGAATTTGTGTGCAATAGAGTTCCATCCATCTAAGAGCTTAATCTAACCGCAAAATGGCTCTACGTCCCTGGAAAACAAAATTCAGTGGATTGTGCCTCTCATGGCCTTACTCCAATCCAACTAACTGACTTCAAGGTCTGGTGGACAGGACCTGAGTGGCTTAAAGGCTCATTTTCTTCTTGGCCAGCTCAATAGTTCAAACCTTCAGCTATTGCTCATAAAGTGGAAAGATCAGGCGTCTTATTGCACGTAGCTACAGCTCCATCTGAAGAAGATCATCCATTGCGGTACCTTCTATCAAGATATTCATCGCTCTACAAGCTCTTACGCATCACTGCTCTTTGTCTACGCTTCATCGCCTCGCTCGGAGAAAAAACTACCAGCTTGTTAGCTCACAATCCTATAGCTCCACAAGAACAGCTCGATGTTCAGCTCATCTGGGTGAAGATCATCCAAAGACTTCATTTGAATTAAAAGCTCTGCGAAATGGTCTTCAAATACCATCATCGCATTTTGTCTCTAAGCTCGCAGCTTTTGCTGACCAAGAAGGTATACTTCGTGTTGGTGGTCACCTAACAAACTCTAAGCTCGAAGAAGATGAAATTTATCCGAGAATACTCCCAGGAAAATCCTAGTTTTCACAGGTCGTTATTGATCAAGCTCATCGACAAACGCTCCATGGAGGAACTCAAGTTACTCTCATTCATGTCCGAGAAAGGTTTTGGATCCTAGGACGAAGAGTTCCTATTCGCTCATTTATCCTGAGATGCGTGATATGTGCTTGACGTGCTCAACAGCTTATGGGCCAGCTCCCGGCTGATCGTGTGGTACCAGTTCAACCATTTCACACTACTGAGGTAGATTATGCTAGTTCCTCCACGCTCAAGATGTTCCAGGGAAGAGGCGCAGAAACATATAAAGGCTGGATAGCTGTTTTTGTCTGCTTCGTGACCTCAGCTGTTCACTTGGAGCTGGTGTCGGACTACTCTACAGAAGCCTTCATAAAAGCCTACCGACGCTTTGTCAGTCGTCGAGGAACAAGCTCAGTGCTCTACAGCGACTGTAAAGCCAACTTCAAGGTAGCTGATTTCCTCCTCAAAGATCTCTTTCGTCAAAGCTCATCAGAAAACGCTCAGCTCGTTAGCTCATTAGCTCAGGTGGGGACAAGATGGATCTACTCATCTACCTCCCAGCGCTCCTCACTTTGGTGGAAAGTGGGAAGCCGCTGTTAAGTCGGTGAAGACTCACCTAATAAGGATTCTAAAGACAACCTTACTGACCTATGAAGACTTCACCACTCTACTAGCTCAAATAGAGGCGGTTTTAAATTCTCGACCGCTTCGCCGCTCACTGATAATCGCGACGATCTACGAGCTCTGACCCCAGCTCACTTTCTTCATGAAACATCTCAAGGAGTTCTTCCTGAAGTCGCTCTCACTCATTTCCCTGAGTCACGACTTGCTCTATGGGAGTTAATCCAACAAAAGCTCTAGCACTTTTGGAAGCGGTGGTCCAAAGAGTGCTTACAAAGATATTTCCCTCTTAATCTCTAAGTGGAGAAAGGCAGCTTACGACATTGCAGTCGGCTTTCTAGTTCTGCTTATTGAAGATAACTTTCCTCCAGCTCAATGGCCTTTGGCTCAAGTCGTCGATGTTCATCCTGGACAAGATGGACTCGTTCGAGTGGTCTCTATCAAGACTTCAAAGACCATCTTCACCAGACCAATCACCGAGCTCATTGTTCTACCAGTAGACGAGTACCGCAAGGACGTTGAAGTAGACGGAGAGTATGTTGCGAGAGATTAATCGCAACCTGTCAGCTGGACTCGCTCTCGTCCCAGCTTGTGCTCAGTCAAGTTCACCCGATCCTCTCGCCTTATCGTAGCTCTTTTTTTAGCGCTCAACTGATTACAGCTCGTCTTCTCCAACCTAGCCAATGATAGTTGTTCTAATATTGTGCTAGGTTTACCGACGCCGGCTCAAGTACACGTGTGCTATTACCGTTCTTTCTATTTTCGCATAAAATAATTGTTACAAGCTCTTGATAAATTCTATTTAGGCTCAATAACGTTCAGTTAAACTCTAACCTTGTTAATAAGCTATTGTTAACGTAAAAAATAATCTATTTTTATAATAAAACAATTATAAAGCTCAAGAAAAGAGTCTTTTGTGTGTGCACCTCTCCTGACCACATCCTACGGCGTAGCTCATCTTTTGGCTTTAAATAATTAAATAAAATTAACTAAATCAACAATTTTCGGTTCTCACAAAACAGAATGAGAAAATTTATATTATTCCGTATTAGATGTTTTGGGATTCTCGCATAAGTTCGACAAAGATAAAAATTATCAACATCTTTGTGACAACCCATACAAAAATATGCTCGAACATTATCTTGCTTTTCACAAGCTATATCATCAAATATAATGAAATTAGGTTGAGCATCATCTGTCTTTACAACTTGTTCATTATCATTGAAAGGAAAAAAACCAACGCCATCAATCAGCTCGAGTAGTTTTCCCAAGTATTTATATTTAAGTTGATTTACTGATTCGGAATACAGATAAATATTTTCAAATCTTAGTCCATTTAGTTAAATTTATAGAGCTGACAATGCATTTGTTTTTCCACAATTAGATGGTCCACGAATAACTGAGCGTATAGTATTTGGTAATAATTCACTACGACGTTTAGTCTTTGTATTTTTTTCCATAGATATAATTTTATCAAAATTTTCTACAGATAATTTAAAATCTTGTGGTTAAAACTTCATCTCGATAATGACTAAGCCTAAAAATTCAAATACCGACACCTTTATAGTTTTTATTTAGTTGAATAATGACTGAGAAAAACATCTAAAAAAAGGAGCGGGGATACTAAATAAAATCATTAATAATGAAAAATGAAAATGTTATTGTGTGACTTAAAAGTATTTTCAATAGCTAATCTTTTCATTTTTTTATGAGTTATTTTGTTCTAAAAAAAAACGGCTCGACCGAATTTGTTCTAATTTCACTCAGATCTTCTTTTTGATAATATCTTCCGAATCAATTTTGATTGAAGTCGATGTCTCAATCCGTTCTTGAGATATCGAAAACGATAAAAATGCTGACGTCTATACATACGTACGTACACATACACATTATTTTAAAAATTGGTCAGTATGCTTGCAAATACCATGAAACGTGGAGATATGATGAAAATTGAAATTCCACCAATCGACCCAATTTCAATAACTTCCTAATGGGAAGTTAAAAATTAAAATTTTTTTTTTATAATTACCTATCATTCTGCGAAATATGGAAAGTAAAAACAAAATTTCTGAATCATAGCTTCAATCTTTTATTTACATACTGTGAATATTATGTTAATACATATTCTAATCGATTTCTTTAAGTTATGTGGACAAACATAAAAAAAATTTGATCTGTTAACAAATTTTTAGACAATTATATAAACTACTTTCTGTAATTGTCCTTTTGTATTTTCAATATATTTAAAATTCAACTAAAATTCTTAAATGTCAGTATAAACTATTCCATGCATAAATATAAAAAGTAAAAAGTTATTAGATTCATATAAGATGAATAAATAAAACAGTTTTGCATACATCATAAATTAAAATATTACACACACTCATTTAGTCTCAATGCTTTTTTACAATATGCTATACATAATTACTAATATAAAACATGCCTTCAAATAATTGAACTTTTAAATAAATAGATTACAAATATTTATTTATTGATTATTTTTTCCCCTTCAATTTAAATCATAACAAAACAATATCTTAGATTCAAATCTGATCTACTCATCGATATTATCCTAAGACGCAATCTACCTTACCGATAGCGATAAGTTACTGAAAGTGAAAGCCAAAATAGAGATAAATAAAAATAGATTTTTTTTAAAGAATAGAGATTATTAACAATAAAAATATTTAAGATACATATTATTCAAGATGCGAGCTTTTCAGAAATAAAAAAAAAAGAATACAGATATTTAAAAATAGAAATTCAAAAGAATCGAGATATTTAAGGAACAGAATATTCAAAAATACTTATATCGGAAAATAAAGATATTTGAGGATAGAAATATTTGAGAAGATAGATATTCGAGAATAGAAATATATTAACAATAAACATGTAATTAAAATAAAGATATTTAAACGTATATATATATATATAGAAGAAGAAAGATGTTATGTAATTTTGCTCTTTAAAAGTGTCAATATGTAAACCATATGCTTAACCTTAGAGACTTTAAGTTCCTTTTTTTTTAGTCCTAGCCTTTCGACCAATAGACAGGGATGAGGGGATCTTCGATAGAGAAAGTAAAAATGTGTGATTTATATAAAAACAATAACAAAATTTTATTGAATGAAAATTATTGAAAATTATAACAACAATTTAACCGTTACCAACAGATGATTTCTTTTACTCTGGTCGAGATGAATTACAATTAATTGGTCCTTAGTCGATGTTCCAGTCAGCGCAATTATTCACTTTTCTCGCGAATTAATTTAAATATCAATTTAAAAATAATTTGACGATCAAATAAACTTCATACAAGAATTTACAAACTTTGAAGTATTATCAATACGATACTCAAGACTTATGATTTCAAGAGATGTTCCACGACGATCTGATCTCGATCTTACTTTTTCGACAACTGACTGATGCATCAAACCTTACGTATTTATTTAGTCGAATGTGACATAATTAGAAGTCCCTTGCTTCAGGCGCGCACAAGTCCCTTCGCATGGTCTTTTCCCTTTTTGGAAAAGCTTAACGCTCTTCTTACGTCACGTACTCTTTTTTTAGAGTTTTATTGCTTTTCGCCACGTGGGTTTTCCAAAAGCAATAAAATATCTAAAAAATGACTTCCTCAACTATTCTTCGAAATCCTTTCTATTTTAACGAAATCTTAAAAAAACTCAAAAAAATAACTTGAGTAATAATCGTTAACCTCAATCCTTAAGTTTATCGCTATTCATTTTTAGCTTTTCTTAAAATGTATTTTAAATAATTATATGAAATAATTAAAATACATTTAGACATTACAAAGACTTTTAAGAATAGAGATATTTCGGGTAAGAGTTTATATAAATAGAGATTCTTTAGTATAGACATTTTAATACGCCTTCATATTGAGCTTTTAACATCTCTGCCCTTGTACCATTTTCCCCAGGCGCTTTTTCGTTTCTCAGGTCTCCCAATGCTAGCCTAATGTCGAACATATCTATTCTTGCGTTTAACTCTTTTGGTTCATCTTCACTTCTCCCCTTGTTCATTCACAATCCGTTATTTATCTATATCACTCAGATTTGCTCCTTTATCCTGTAACAGTTTCCTAAAGTGTGCCTCCCACTGTCCTCCCTCAATTTTTTCCGGAACCCTCTTCCTTTGTACTCTCCTATATTTATTTATAGCCTCCTACTATTGCTGCATATCTTTCGTTGGGTTAATCTCTTTTCATTTTTTATGCTTCTGTTTGCCGTTTGCTGTTTTCTGTTTTCCTCAGTGACATAGGTTTCTGACGCTGTCCCCTTGGTAGGAATGATTTGTTTCTTTAGTCTGTGTCGAAGAATCTCCAAATAATTAATCTAGATAGTCTATGTTTTAACTTTGAGTCTGATAGTTCGATTATCTCACTAGATAACTCGCCCAGCTCCAGTGATGTGTCGAGTGAGCATATTGCCTGATCTAGATAGTAGAATCATACTTGGTGTGGACTTTTGGTTATTATATGGTGTCAGTGTAAATGCAGATTCAATTTGTGGCCGTTTATGTTCATCACCGGAAACTTTTACGTTCGCACTATCAATCTTAATTCGAATGGTCTAACAGATATTGTTAGTCACAAAATTATGTTGTAGGATTCAAGGCCAGTTCGAAGAACACAATATCGAAAAAGTCCTCTAATAACATCCATATTAGATGCGATGATCAATGACATTGTTGACAAACAATATATCGTACCCTCAAACGGTGCCTGGTCAAGTCCAGTAGTCATGGTTTCAAAAAAGGATATAACGTGGAGAATGTGTATCGATTATCGCAAATTGAATGCGACAACCGTAAGACCAGCTTACCCCTTGCCGTCTATGAAGAGAGTTCTATATTCATAATCCCGTGTTAAAATAATTCCTACTTTAAACCTAACTGATGCCTTTTATCAGATATCAATGGCGGCTAACAGTCAAGAATATACTGGGTTTGCAGTAGAAAACCGTGATTTGTTTCATTGGCTACGAATGCCATTCGGTTTAACCGGTGCTCCTACTACTTTTCAGAACCAATACGTATCTCTATACAACACGTTTCTTGATACTACAATACATATCACAGGGACTACCGCCCTAAGGTATTAAGCAAACATGGAATCAAGCGTAATTAAGACAATATCCGCAAGTAAAACCGGCCCCACTCGGAGTTTGCGGCGGGGCCATTACCTACGCGTGAGGCCAGAAAGGCTGCAAGAGTCAACTGGAATCCACACCAACAACTAGGATGGATCAAGAAGACGACCCTGGAACATGGACACCTCAGTACCCGCAGAGGTCCGAAACGTTCGACAGGGTGTCCGGTTAGCCTCGCGCGCGCTGCCTTCTGGCGCTCTCGCTCACAGCCGGTCTCCGAGGCAACCCGACGGTTCAATGTCAAAGCAGCCGATTGGGAAGCCTTCGGTAAGCTGATACCCGAGCTAGAGAGCACACTTTCTGCTGGACCATTGCTGAACTCTCCGATGAACATTGACAGATTCGCTGACACTCTCGCAGATGAGTTAACGGACATTTGTGAAAA